TACTGAAGTATTAAGGAGAAAACGAATTTTTTTATTAAAAAACTGAAACACATTTAATGATATATTTATATTAAATTGTCTGAAGTTAATATTTCTCTCAGATCTCAAAATAATCTCTCTTTTTAATTTTTAAAGACCGTCTGCCTTCTTAGATTAAGCCACTTTTTGAATATGGTACATGAAAACGTACATTAAATAAACGGAAAGTGTAGTTTCACATTTCACCAGCGAAATTTATTTTACATTCTTTCTTATTTGCTTTCTTTCTTGCGAAATTACTTCCTTACTAGTTGCTTTGTGCTTTAATAATAATAAAACTCCTTATAACGGATATATTTTTAAAAAGTTTAATACACGTTCCACCAAAGATTGTACTTCAAGCAAGTAACTTTGAAATTAAGAATCACTGACATTCAATTTTAATATTAATATCAGATGCTATTGTTATTACCCTATGTGTAACTTAAGCATCAAATTTTGAAATTACTAAAAGACTTGAGAATGAAATTTTTGGAGAGAAGATAAACGTAACTTAAATCTAATTTAATCATAAATATTTGGAATTTTAAAAAACTTAAGAATATAACTTTTGGAGAGAAGATAAATGTAATTTAATTTAATTATCAAAATTTGGAATTTAAAAAACTTAAGAATATAACTTTTGGAGAGAAGATAAATGTAATTTAATTATCAAAATTTGGAATTTAAAAAACTTAAGAATATAACTTTTGGAGAGAAGATAAACGTAACTTAAATGTAATTTAATCGTCAAAATTTGAAATTAAACAAAGACTTAGAAATGTAATTTTTGTAGAGAAGACAAACGTAACTTAAATGTAACTTCGTCAAAATTTGGAATTTAAAATAATTTTAAGAATGAAACTTTTGGGAAGAAGACAAACGTAACTCAAATGTAACTAAATCGTCAAAATTTGGAATTTAGAAAAAACTGAAGAATGAAATGTTCGGGGGAAAAAGACGAACGTTTGAATAGTAACAAAAAAAAAAGTCATGTTTGCAGTGTAAGAATGCGAAAGTAAAAGTGCAAAGGTATTTGCTCGAATTCCTTTCGCGCAAATAAGTTAATCTACAAATAGCGGAGAACATTGTAACACTTTGTTGGCTTGACCAGAAAATTACGTCGTCGCGGTGGCTGTGCAACAACCGGATAAATGAGAGCAAAAAATCGACCATCTTGAGTGCTGCCAAGAGATTAGCCACGTTAGGCGTCTGAGACACACGGTTTTGTCTATGTGGGGTCGAGTTGTTTACGAAATGAACGGGAATCGAAAATAGTAGCTCCCAAAACTCGAATATATCTCGAAACCTTATACCAAT